TGAATAAACCTATAGAACATGTAATCTTACGAGATACCCAAATGCAAAACACTGACGGATTAGGTAGACAAGACGACGAAAATTTCCACACGTGGGCTAGGCGCATTCAGAATGCTGTGCAATATTATGAGACTTGTAGTAGAATAGGTTTTCATAAGCGGCCACCTTATCCAAGGTCTCATCAAGATGTATATGCTTATATTGTACACATTAGGAGAATAGTATCACGACTACCAAATAGGTGGTACTGTACCTACTGTAAATCTTTTATTGATCGCGGATGGGAAACCGACGCTTCCATGGATCAAGCAGTACGACTACATTTATATAGTTGCCCAAAGCATTTTAATTTTGACTATTATACTTATCATGCTGAAATGATCCAGAAAGCCTTTAGGAGATATATAGAAAAAAGGAACAATAAAGTGGCTAGGATTATCCAGAAAGTCGCTATCCCCTGGTTGTATAGACCAGGCTCTCCATTGATACAAAAGGCCAAGCAACGCTTCTACTGCCTTGCAGTATCCCAAGTGTAAACCCCGAGGTTCATATTTATTTTTTCTCGTTCTAATGAACAGGTAACTGAAGATTCATATTTATTATAAAGTACAAAGAATCATGTTGACATATACCGAATTCGCAAGCATTGTTAACAGCACTGACAGCACTAGTGAAGAGGTTATTTACGAGGCATCGCGCATTCAGCCTAATGTTGTCTCTGACGAAACTGTCCCCAAGATTATCCGCGCATTAAAAGATACTATAGTAATCGCATTAATATCTGGGTTTAGCAAAACCAGTTACCTTGTTCAGGACCACATGAAGTATATCAAGCGAATCCAAACGGCAAATTCTCCTGTATCATATGTGAAGTTCGTGGCCAGAAAACTCTTCCCAGATAATGCGGCATATACTGCTAAGATAGCAAAAATCTGCGAATCATACAAGAATAAACAAGCTCTCCTAGATAAGCTTGAGGCCCTCTTCGAATTGTATTATAATGCGACTAAGGACTCATCAACCGGTCCCCCAAAGCGAGCTATTACTAAAAACGAGGCTGAGAAAACCTTAACAGAACTTCTTGCATAAGCGGCTCCTGTGGTCCTACGATTCTGTACGAATTTAGTCTATATTTTTTATCCATGTGTAATAGGCATACAGTAATTGAAGATAGCTATAGTATAAGTAACATAACATCATGTCAGACCGATTACCAGTAGAAATAGTCGAACGCATTGTCGCAAAGATCCCGGATACTGACCTTATTGCAGCGAGTAAGGTAGATAGAGTGTGGTGGCAGGAAGTTCGTCGAGAGGCATATAAGAGGTGGAAAAATTATGCCACTACGATCGGGGATGTGTACTGTGAAATCCGAGCTCTCGGAAAGCATTATATAAAGAGGGAAATTGACTGGATAACGTTTGAAGATGTAAACGACCTCTATAAAAGATGGATAAACCGCCTCACCGAGGATCAGCTTTATATTATGGAGAAAATGCTTAGGAATGGGATGGTCGTGGACCCCCAAGAGAGGGAAACCATAGAGCATGCATTAAGTGAACAAAGATGGGGAGGCGATCCTTGGAGACTGGGAGTGGTATGAATGGACTCAACAGGAGTAAGCATTTTGTACTTGACTTTCGTAGGAATTACCCTGCAGAGTCATATTTTTTAGATCCGGCCGGCATTACCGCGTAATCCCGAATTACCGAAAAAGGAAATTTATGTTACACAAGATTCCAAACGCATTTTTACCAAAATCGATTTTTTGTGGAACGGGTATCGCCCAAAAAGGAAATGATCTACGTACCGCATGAAATCACGTGACACTCTACACATTTGTTCAGGGTATCACGTGACATGAACTCCGTTCACATTTTCTGTAATATAATCCATAGTTTTTCCATGAATGCTTTTTAGGCCAATAATCCAATAACTTATTCATCAGGTATCCTCGTGTTTTGCGACAAGGACTGATGACCATGTAACCTCATCATCAGGCATCCTCGCATTTTTTGACAAGGACTGATGACGATGTCACTTGGTTATTGTAAATTGAAGATAACAATTAGGTATGTAGACACGTACAGAAAAAAGACATGTCATACCCTTATATAACTAATCCTATAACCGGACGTCCAATCCGTGTTGGTGGAGATACCTTTAATCGAATAGTTATGGAATCCCATGATTATATCGATGGAAGGCTTGTCCGTAGACAAACCGTACCGCCTCCACCCCAGGAACAACCTGTATATTTAAATACAGATACAGGACGCTATATTCAACACGGTACTAGAACGTATCATAGACTGGTTGAGAGTGACTACGAGGTAGTTGAGGACTACTACCTTGTTCATTCTGAAGAGGAGGAGCTTATAGAGGAAATCATCAATGAAACACGCTATAATGAGGAAAATCTTGATGGCCAGCGGTTAACTTTCAATAATATACAACAAATCAGAGCCGCTATTCAAGCTGACCAAGATGAATATGATGATTTTATCTTACAGCAGAATACGACTAACGGGACACCTTCCTCCGGTCCTTCCGGTCATCCACGAACTTTGGAGGACCATGCCCCGAGACTTGCAGAGCTTAATATTGAGTTGTGTAGGGAATGTCTCATGCCTGTAAGCCCAAGTGACTTAACGGACAAGTTGTGCAAGGACTGCGCTTCCTAATGGTCAGTCCTCCGGTCCTCTGGTCTTCCGGTCTTTCCAACGGTTGATCCCTTAATGCCAGTTATTTTTTTTTTATACAAATGACAGGTATTTAAAGATAACAATATATAAAAAAGATTGTGAAGGATACTAAGTGAGCGAATAATCAAAGAAAGATAGCCATGTCAACATCAATCGTAATAAACCAGTGTCAGAACTGTGGAGTATTCTCTGCAAAAGCGGCATATAGAGGATTATCCAGCATGTTGTATAGACAGATTATAAAGAAGATTGGTGATGAGAGTGAACCTTTACAAGCCTTGGGACTTGCCAGGAATAAGTTGGTCCAGATTATCCGTCGGGTAAGTAATGCGGATTTTACGCAATTATTCACACAAAGACTGGATATGAAAATTATGGATGGAGATTCATACGAGGATACTAGGAAGTGGCTTCTTGAACAACTTATAGCCATTGGATGTGACAGTGGGAAAATTGCCTTATATCAGTTCTTACGGAATACATACCTGGATGGTATTGACGAACCCTTTACTACATTCTATGAGAACTATGTAAGTCATGTAAGAAATCCGATGACTAAGAACTTTGCTTCTCGAGCCTTAGGAGCTATTGGATTAAAAGCTAGGATGCTACGGATTGACTTCGAAGGACGTAAAAAAAGTGCCATGATTCTTAGGGCTTCTGCGAAAAAACTTCGCGAGATGGGTTGCTAAAGCAACCAGATTCTTACAAAATACTATTGATCCCTACTCGTAATGCTCGACGGTCCATATGACCCTTAGAAAAGATCTGTAAAAGAACCCCGATGTCTTCTATTATTTTTTTATTATCCAAAGGGTGACTAGACTTCAGGGTTTCATACTGGGAGAATAACTCCTTTACATTCTCAGGTTTTGGAATTTCAGTTTTCGTGGTCCTATCCCGTACTTTCGCTAAGAAGTTTTGGAAGTCTGATTCCAGGGTCTTACCAGATAGTCCGTAGGCTTCCCGAAAGACATACTTAATCCAGGTATCTGCGTTCTTAGCTATAAAACCAGATACGAGGAGGTGTTTTCTCTCTTTAGGCGATAGATATTTCCGAGCAAACTCAATTAGCTGGGAGGACTTTTTTGCTTCAGCTACAGCTTTCTGGCCATAAGAACTAAACTTCGATCGAACTGGGTTCAAACTTAGATCGAATGGGAATCGAACTGGGTTCAAACTCAGATCAAACTGAGATCAAACTGGGTTCAAACTCAGATCGAACGGGATTGAACTGAGATCAAACTAGGATCAAACTGAGATTGATCGGTGATCGAACTGAGACTAGTATCCCATATAACCCGAATAGATAAAGGATCGCTCTTGGATCTTCTAAGATCAAATACTATAAATTCGCGTTGTAGAGTAAGGTCATCGATTACTGGAGCTAGTGACTCCGATTCTTCTGTATACTGGCGGATGATCCTCTTAGTATCGGTCAAACTTCTGTGACCTCCATGTAGGGAAATATAATTCACATTTTCACGAATAGCCTTGGGAATGGTAAAGAATCTTTGGGCCACATAAATACATGAAATATTTTTGTGTCGTCCGTGTGTAAAAAATCCAGTGATGAGATCCTGGGTTTTTTTAGGCGCATCCATCAAATCCTCGAAGATTACCACAGTAGCCTGGGTGGAGTTGAAGTCCTTAACATTTGGAATCTCACTATGGGATACTGCGGTAAACGGAATTTCTTCTTCTTTGAAAAACTTTACTAAAAATGGCCAATTTTTTGAAATATTTTTATAGACCTAGATACAATGGCTTTCAAAACAATTGTGCAATTATTTTGTAAAATTTTTAAAATATATCAAGATATATTTGAGGTATTTTTGAGATTAAAATATTAAAATCTGTCTCTTATACACATCTAGATGTGTATAAGAGACAGAGCCTACTGGACCGCCTCCTAGGGATTTGCGTGATATGAATAATATACCATTAGTTGCGGTAATTAAGGATCTAACAGATTTTTTAACTGTCAGTGATCGCATGGTTGTTAATTGAGATGTACAAAATGCAAACCATCGTCTTAAACATGCTCTTAATTTATTAATTCATCGCTGTAGAGAAACATACGAAGAACGTGATATATTAAAAGCGGAACGCGATCGATCTCGAAAAGAACGTGATGAATTACAAGACGAACTCGAGGTTCAAACAGGTTTGTTAGGTCTTACACAAGATGAGCTAAATATCGTACAAGATACTATTACTGGTTTAGAAGCTAATTTGGCTTAATTGGAACGTGAGTTTGGTGGTATGCGAACGACTAATCGTCGTCTTCAGCAGCAATATAATCTTATGAGAGGAGAACGTAATAGAGCTATAGGTGAACGTAATAGAGCTATAGGCGAGCATAATGCGGCACAAAATCGGCTTGTATATGCCAATAATCGGGTTCTTTTTGGAATTCGGACATTGGGACGTCTTAGGAATCGACTTTTTCAACAAATAGCCGCTCTGCGTATCCAAGTACAATGGTTTCGAATTAGACAATTGAACCCTCCTCCACCTCCTCTCAACCATCCACAAAATACGATATGGCTGCCGTTGGTATAGCTGCCCCCATATTTCATAGTCGGGAAGATGAAGATCTTAATCTTTTTATTGATAACTTTTTAGGGTATATTAATACCGTTGGTATTGATCCATTGGACGATGCCGGTGCGCCTCCTGATCGAGTGAGAGCGATGGGGGTTCTTCGTAGCTGTATGAGAGATGAAGCGGCGAGGTGGTTTGATGCGGAACTTACTGGAAAAAATTGGGAACTCTCGAATATTTGGTTAGTGGCTGCTGCAAATGGTGGAGCCGGTGCTACTCGCCGAGCATTCAGAGCTTTGGCTGTTCCTGAGGTTGCTAATGGATTACATGTTGGTACTTACTTATCCGGGTCTGATGCTGATGCATATTCAAGGGTTGCAGTTAATGCGGTGATAACCGTTGAAGATGCATTTTTCCCGTCACGCGCTGATATCGTTAGAACGAATTTTAAAGTTGAAGAGCGGTGGAGGCGTGCGGGTAGACGTCCTACTTATCAACCCGTTAATGGGTTGGGAAATCATAGAGGTCCATTTAATGCTGCTGTCCAGAATCAACCGAGAGTCTTACAGGGGATTCTCCTGGATCAAGCATTTATGCATATGCGCACAAATTTTCCAACCATCGTGGAAGAAAGACTTCAGATACGATTTAGTAACCTTTACCAGGAACAAGGTGAACCTGTTCGATCTTACTATAAGCGAGTTGAGAGGACTGGAGATATTGTAGGATATAATCAAATCATGGTTACTGACCAGTTCTATAGAGGACTTTTGCCAGAAAACGTTATTGAAGCTTCCAGAATCGGGGCAGCACCTCTTAATATATTAATCGATAGATTGAGTGATCTTGAGTGACGAAAGGGTGAAATGTTCTATGGATTACAAAGGCGCCAGGGTATTGAAAAAGCTAAAAAGGAGGAATTGGCTGGCTATACTCATCCCGTGACTCCACACGAAGGTGCTGTAATACAAAGGTCAACAGACATTATTACTCAAGAACGATTACTCGAATTGCTCAAGGCGCAGGCCGAGGAACTTACCAAGAATTTCCAGGCGCAATTTAAACAATTACAAGCATTTAAGCCAGTTCGTAAACCACCGGTCTATAGACAACAGATTAAACCTGTTCGGCCGAAGTCACGGCCACGCGTTGTCCAACAAGATGATGATTATCCTGATCCCGATTGGGATGATGGTTATATAGATCATGATGTTGGTGATGACCCTGATGCTCCTGAGTGGACTAGGGAGGATGATCAACATGTTATTGATTTTATTTTGGGATATGAGACGTCTAAAAGATTTCCAAAGCGACTTCAGAAGGCTAAAGATAGACGCGATGATCTGAAATTAGCCTGAGCAATGAGAAACCTCGATCTTAATGATGATGCTATGGATATTGATACTAATACCGCGAGTTTTGATGACTTGAAAATTGTTCCCGATGAGGAAGGTGGTTTTCGGATTTGTGCGGTTCGAAGTACAAAAAAAA